AATAAAGCCCAGTTTTACTTTATCGTCTTTTGTGATACCCTTAATAGGCAGGACAGAGGCATATCGTAGCAATTGAAGGGTTATTTGACACGCAAGATAAGTACATTCGATTCAAGTTAGGAAAAGGTTAAAAAAGTAGAAAACACGGGCGTTAGAGAAGAACCTAAGTTGCAGTTAGCAACGGCGGAGACTGTCGCATGCGCTGCGCAGACAACTTTGTTCAATTCCAGAAACTCTAGCTGATGAGCTGGCCAGATAGAGAAGCCTCGGTGGTTAAGGACATTGAAGACATTCCGGACTGGCGGTGAAGGGCCACTTTACGATTTCGTCGGCATGCGCTGCAAAAGGGCAACAGCTCCAGTCCGTCAGGTGTGATCTCAACGTTGCCGCTGCTGCCACCGGGGGCTCGGGGATCAAAGAAGTTTATGGAACGGAAGATCTCCGCCACAGTTGTCCGTTCGTTTCTGCTCTGAATGAGGCAGTCAAAGTGCATCGCTCTTGCGCAGCCAGGCGTGGCACACTGCAAAGAATGGACACAAAGACTAGAAAACCTGCCCGACTTGTTTCCTTCAAAGAGAGCAAACCATTCCCAAAGTCATAGTCCTCTCATGGATGTGAAGCCTGGAGCAGACCGTGCTTTCTTGAAAAGTGTTCTGCAAACCTCTCCCCGTAAAGCCCGACTTCCAGGACATCGTGATTGTTCAAAAATGTCATATTTATCATGGAACGAGATTCTATGACCCTCCTCCTGTCATCTGATGCCGGGTGGGTACATCGAAGATAAGTTTGGGTGCAATGGCCGCCCATTCAGAAATGGAGCTGGAAGACACTTAAGGTTAACTTTGCGACATTACATTACAGTGGCCATAGCTTGACGCCAGGAAGGCAATACTGCTAGTATAATCGAAGCCAGTGAGGCGCTGCCCGTGCGCACATTATACACTGGCGAAACCTTACATGGCGTAAACACAAGAATTATTAGTGAAGCCTACAAAATATTTTCGACTTATAATGAAAAACTACTTCCTTCTTCTCAGTAGGCATACTCTCCTTTTTTCTCCCGCCGCGGATTCACCACGATGCACAAGTTGGTTCGAGCGCCGGTTTTCGTCTTCCTTCAACTTGCACGTTTCACCGCCCCTCTCCCCCAAATATTGTCTCAGTGACAGTGCCCAAGGTCTG